TACGAGTAAAAATGGAACGCAGCATTAATCTCCTCTAATGGCTTTGAATCTCCTCTTAATGACTCTCTCCTCTGTGCTGAGTAGTAGTTTGCAGGCGTGGAAGGTAAGTTTGTTAAAGTATGTCACTCAAAAGAGCAGCGGTCAGCTGGCTTCATGCTGCTGTCTGACGTCGGTCGCCATGAATCCAGTTGGGGTTAATCAGAGTGGGTGGTGTCTGGCTTAACATGTTAGGACACGGTGCCTAGGCCAGAAGGTTACCAGTTCAAATCACAGAGTCTGCAGAGCCATTTCACCATTGGCCCCTTCAGCAAGACCTGCAGCTGTCTGGCACATGCAAAGGTTTCAGATAGTTGTCTTAGTAGCAATAGCAGGGTACTTTTGTATGCTTCATAACCCCCCCCCCCCCCCCCCCCCCCCCCCCACAGACTTCTCTGGAAATTAAACGTGTCTATGTGATCTTCTGGCATACCTTCCATTTTTATCTGAAGTAGGAAATCATTCCAAGTAAAAGCTTTTCCTTTCCCTGAAAGAACTGTCTCCTATTCTCTCTTACTGTCTCTGTGTCTTGGTGACAACATTAATTTCACATACATAAAACAAAATTAGTCTTTTGACTCAGATAGATGAAACATCTGCTCTCTATATCAGGTGCAAAGACACAAGCACCAGCTTTCAAACTGAACTTCTAAATATTCATTCCTCTCCCACAATGTTCTGGTTCACGTTGGCCATAATTTTTTAAAATTCAAACTGTGATCCTCCCTCAAACTAAGTTCTCCCATTTGCTGCTCTGAGAGATTATATATAAATGAGAGTGAAACTCTGAGATGTAGTCAGAGGGCTGTGACTCAAGAGGGCAACAGTGCAGGTCAGGGTGCGTTACAAAAACAAAATCTTTGTCTTTTTCAAGACTTAATGTGTTGAACAATAGACAGTGAAAGTAAAGTTAGTGTGAGAGTCCAGGAGTCATTTTTTCCATCCTGCTAGATGTGCCGGCCACCTTGCCGCAGTAACAAGCAAAAAATTGTCGAAAATGAAATTAAACAAAGGAAAACTAAAGAGAAGCACAAAAGCAGAAGCAGTGAAAGATGCAGGTTAATGTTATTACTAGATCCACCCACACTACGAGCTCAGTGGCCCCTGTCTGTGTTCAGTACCAGTTCTTCAAGATGATTCTCCCCGAGCTTTCTTCGCAACAAGGTTCCTTGTCAGGCATTAAAAGCAAGCAGAACAATATGGATGAAAGAGCCTTCAGACTATCAGTAATATAGTCATTCACAAGAAAATGAGAAATAATATCCCCTGGGCCTCCTTCACTGTACATATTGTATATCAATCATCAATACACCAATTCTGTGGAAAACAGGCTCTCTAGCCATAATAAACACTTGATTCATGGCTTGGCAAGACACATGGTAATTATGCTTATCTTGAATTGTGTAATAGAACTTGAGAACTTGAGTGGGGGGGTTCTATACAGATAAATAAGTCTACATACTCCAATATCAGTGATTCTCTGTTGATTCTGAATTAAGGTTTTGCACCAAACCCTAGAGAAGATGAAACAACCAGCAAACAATGGTTCTTATGTGACTAAACCCAGATCAGGACTTCATGAAAAAGACAGGATTGTTATGAAATGTGAGTTACATAAGTTGTGTGTTTGTGGGAGGGGGGTAAGATGGAGAAGGTGGGGCCTGAGGCATGCAGCCAATGAGCTGTGAGCATGTTGAAGGTATAAAGGGCAATCCCAGACATTAGGCCCAATCCGATCCAAAGGCAGGGCCCAGTGTCCCGGCTTCTGCTGGCCTGATTTGTATACTTGAGTGGGGTAACAACCTGATCACCAGCAGGAGAGCAAGCCAGATGGAACATCCGTACTTTTGAACAGTCGCGCTCTGAGACGATCTCGAGGAGACCTCATTGCCTATTATATCTTGCATATTTAGATTTTAGCGTCTGTTTCCTTTAACCGATGACATCACAGACAGTGTCTCTTTCATTCGGTCTGACGATACAAAAAACCTTTAAAATGAGTTAATGGCACTTTGTGCTCTTATACACAGCCTTGTAAAATAGATGCAATAATAGTATAATAATGAAGAATGCACATACACTATATTATTAAGTAGCCCTATGAGGTGGCAGATAGGATACACTTTGCGCTCAGAATTGTTCCAGGGTTGATAAGTTGTCCAATCGGCACTGTCCCACTGAGCCATTGTATCCGCACTTATGTGCTTCCTGTTAGCTTTCATGAGTCAAGCCACTGAGACCCCTCTCTTTAACACTCCCTAACTATGCATTTCTGCCCCTGATTTTTTCAGTTATTGAGCCATCCTCCATAAACTCTAGACACTGTAGTGTGTGAAGATCCCAGGAGAGCAGCTGTTTTTGAGATGTTGAAAGCACCACATCTGGCACCAGCGATCATGCCATTTAAAATAACTTCAGTCACACCGTTTTAAGCCTTAGCTGCACAGTTAGTAAGCCCCTTGACTGTGTCTCTTTGCTGTATGCATTCAGTTGCAGCCATATGATTGGCTGTTTTGGCTCTTTATTCGGTTGCACCCACATGATTGGCTGCTTGCCTCACTGAACAGGTCTCTCTGTGAACACCAGGTGTAATAATTGCGTCTCATGCAAGTTAAATAGCAACTTGAAAATGCTATTTATCAAATAAATTCATATAGATAAATAGATAATTAAGCCTAAGTTTCAGTAGGTGTAACCCTCTCTGTGGCCTGGCTGCACTTAAGTTTCTGCCACACTCGAAGACAGCTGAATGCTTCCAGATACAAACATCCAAGCATTTTATGAGATCTTATTTAAAAAAATCACAGGGCACAGTAAGGATTTGGAATTGGTTGGGCCTATGAATATATGACTTTGGAAAAAGAGTTTGCTATTTCAGAACACTATTTGACAGAGAATTTGATTCTCACATTTGGAATGATTTCCCCGCACTCGCATAAGACCTTCATTTTCTTATGCATCCATATTTAAGTTTTGCCTTAAGAAAAATATTTTAAGTTTTTCTATTTTAGCGCATTTCTCTAAAACGGCTACATGGCACAGGTAGAGTCATCAACCGGTTAAACTTGAAAAACATTTCTCCCGTCTAATTCCTTCCGGCCAGTCATGGCTGTTTGCTGTTGAATATAAGACCATGCTTGGTTGCTTAACTGATAACCTTCCTTTTTAATGATTGTAGAAGTGCAGTGGTAATTATTATTTTCTTGTTCAAAGCCAATGTCAGGATCAGTGCTTATCTGGCCCTGTCCCATGTATCTTGTCCCCATTTGGCCAGCAGATGTTGCTGATCATCCTGTTCCTGCCGCTGTCTTGTAGCCCCTCAGCCCCTAGTATGTTTCCCAACTTCCTGGGCTGCTGTGTGGCTTAATGGGCTAAGCAGTCAGCCATCGTCTGGGCCACCTTTTGGTGTGAGTTTGAGGCTGGCCAGAGGCCTATGTTCCTATGTTCAGCATTTGTTATTTTATGTTCTCTTGGTTTACTATGCATATGAATTCTGTTTACAGTCCCTTGTGCTTGCTCCCAGCTCTCTGGTTGTATTATATTCAGTTGTCCTTGTTTTAATTTCCCTTAGTGTTTGAACCTGCTGTATCTGTTAATTGACCTCACCTGCTCCTCGTTGCCACTAGTTCTTTATAGCGCACACCTGCCCCTTGTTAGTCCTCATTTTCAGTGTATTTAAGTGTCTGCCTGTGTTCTATTCCTGTCAGTCATTCTAGTGCACTTCAGGCTGGTAGCTGTGGTTGTGTCTTAGTCTTGCTCTGTTCCCTAGTTGTATTACTTTGTGGTTCCTTTAGTTAATTCTTATTCCTGCTATATTCTTGTCCCCTCGTGGTCCCTTTTTTTTTTTGGTTCCCCCCTTTTGTGTTCTGTTTTGTTAATAAACCCTGTTTGTTGACAGACGCTCTGTGGATCATCTGTCTCTACCCTCCTCCGTCATGCCCTGCTGTAACAGGCTAAATCTTGCCTGAAGACTTCCATGGAAACCAAATTCGTAAAGTCACTATTTTAATCAAAAGCAAGTTTGCAAACAACGACAGCGTACAATTACTATACATGCAGCTGCTAAATGTTTTGCTGATGTGATTAAGAGAATAAATCCATTTATGCTTAAGAATGATGTATTTTCTGTCTTCAGTCATTTAGTCGGATGAAAAATGACCTGAAATCAACCAGTTTGTAAGAAAAAATCTTCAGAAATAGGAAAAAATTGGAAATTTCAGAAACTCCATTATGGCAACCTTCAAAAAAAGCCAATTCTTCAGCAAAATTTAGCCAAGTTTCCAGCAAACTAGCACAACCGGCCCAGCAGCTCCGCCAGTAGGATGTAGGCTGTTACCTGGGGAAGAATGGATGCTGGACCAAACCCCCAGCTTGCGGACCTAGAGCAGTGATGCTGCAGCTGCAATATCGGTATGATCCCACTGTCAAACGTGTGGAGTCTTATACATTGTAAAGTTGAAAAGACTACGCTCATATTTCTGATGTATAGGCCTAATTAAATCATTCAATGCCTAAATTACTCAGTTCGTAACTGAGCGATGAACGAGGGTTTCCACTGCCCTTCCTTCGGTACAACACATCCACGGCCAAGGGCCATACTTTACCAGACGGGGGACAACATGGCCTGTGCAGACTTTACGACACAGTAAATGCTTTTTTCCCCCATCGTAAATATATGGTTAACAAGCCTGGATTACTGCACACAATTGAAAGATGTCTGTCTAGCTGTTGAATTATACGACTAAATATGACAGCGTTTCTGACTGCAGTGTTTTACTACAGGCTATAGATTTGGGGGTGAAAGTATTTAAAGCAGTGCATGAAGACAAGAGGCTTGTCACAGACAAAAAATGAGGTCCTTCGTTACACACGCTATGAAGCCCTGTTGGTGACATAAACAGAGCTGGCGGAGCCACAGACGGCTGGGCGGCTCCTCCGACCGGCATAAATAGCGCGCAGCTGGAAGCGGCGCTCGCACATTCTGCGCAGCGCGCTGCCGTCGCGTAAGCCTCCGTTTGCAGCTCATCCGCTCCGAATGTACATCCATTAAGGTCCACATTACAGATTTAACTCTATTTTTTGCCTGGACAATTGCCGATAACGTTGGATATGCGCAAGCGGAATTATGAGAGTCCCATCCTACCGAACAGAAGTAAAATAAAATAAGTTTTTCACACATTGGATTAACTCCTCATTCCTTATGAAGAAGGCAAAAGTAAGTTGAAGCTTAATTTGTGCTCTCTTGCAGTGTTAGTTCTCTGCGTAGTTTGCCAGCATGGTTATATATAATATAAGATATTCATATTTCTTTAAACTCTAAGATCAGAAAGGTTGGACCCTTTATTTCCGACTGAATTACCAATAACCATACTCGTGTTATTGCTGCGTACAACTTTTCGTGCGACCTGCAGGCAGATCGCAGTGTCCAGCGTTGTTCATGGTCGGAATATGACAGAAACGGGATTAACGTGATCCGTGATCGGCGCTTCGCTCTTTCCTGTTTTTCTTGCGTTTCTTCGGCATGTTGGAATACGCTCTTTGAGAAATGTGACTTTGCTTGAGCGTTTGCACCACCGACGGAGATGCCTGTGGCGGCCGGGTATAAGACGACGGTCGGTGCCCCGGTCTGAAATATAGCCTACATACTGCATGCATTTGAACCGACGGAGACGCATATGAGAGCCGGGTATAAGGTCGGTATATACGGTCGGTGTCCCGATCTGTAACTTACATACTGCGCAGATGTCCTAGGGAGCTTCCATAGATGAACGTGCTTAAAAAAAGAGCATATGGCATAACTACCGAAGCTTTTGAGGCTCCTTTAAATCAGACCTTAGCAATTATGCTGATTACATTATACATTAGGGCAGAGCCGCTTCAGATCTCGGAAACACCGCTGATCTTAAAGTCGCTGCGGCATTTGAGGAAGACCTGCCTTCTCATTTACAGTGAGATAGTACCTTCCATCGTTCTGCTTTTTTTATAAATATAATTTATTCATGTCATACGCCAATTAGAAGGACGGCACATCAAACAGTGCAGCTCTGTGTAGTGTTAACATTCGGGATGTGAAATCACTTTGTGGGTTAAATTCTTACGAGGACGCTGTACACGATACTGTTTGCTTTCTTTGTCCACATTTGGAGTATCTACATGCCATGCATGGTTGGACTCATAACACTAGTTGATAATTAAGTAACAAATCGGCTCAGAGCCTCGGGGCATGTAATTATTTTGAATTATTAGATCCCGACACAGTTCGGAAAAACTCCTAAGGCGAAAAGTCCTTTGTATCTGTAGGACTTTAAGTGTGAATAGAAGTGAATAGCAAAGGCAGTACATTTAGCGTAAACTTGTTTTATTTCGACGAATTGGCATAAATTTAATTTCTTTATGCTTCATCCCTCTGCGTTGTGATAGTTCATAGCATGTACGGGAGTGAAGCTGCTCGACATCCCGTTTGGAAGCGTCAAGATGCGGATGGTTGTTGGGGGGATTCTGCTTTTCAGTACGACTCTAGTTTCTGGTTGCTGTGCATTTAAGACCCAACTGGTTGTGTGCTGGCCAAATATTTTGTGTGCAAGGTGACACAGCTGAGGAATAGAGTCCTAGTGACTAGGAAGTAACCGACTGATTTACATGTTAGGTATTTAGCAGACTCTTTTATCCAAAGAAAGCAGGGTCAGGCAATCCCTGGCAGTTAAGGGCCCCCCTCAGGGGCCGAATTGTGAAATCACTTTTCAGACCCTGGGATTTGAACTTGCAGTCTTTTGATCATTGCACCCGTAGCTTCCGTGATAGGCTCCGGACTGCCCTGTGACACTTAACTGGACAGGCAGATTCAAAAAATGGATGGGTGGAACTTTCAATCACAGACACAGCATACAAGGAATGGAACGGTAAACGAGATTCACGGTTCAGTACAAACTCAGACTTGGGCACAATTATGGTACAGCGGGGAAAATAGAATTTGTTTTGAAATTACTTGTTAAAACTGTAAACACAGCTGGGAACAGCTGTAAACCAAAGGCAAAGCGTCTTTCAACGAGTGAATAACACAACCTATGAGATGCTTCTTTGAACATTGCAAAAATATCTAAAATAGATATAACATTATAATGAACTAAACCCACCTATATCCTGTGTTTTCTAGGCCTAATACTGAGTATAGTTGCATATTTGTTACGATAAACACCCCAAAGTTTCCAGCAAAATACACGGGTTCAAAATAAAAAAAGCTGACAGACTGTCATGGTCTTATAAACTGCTCTCGTCCCCAGTGGTTGTGTAATTCATTTGGAACCCACAATGTTCCACAAACGACTGATTATGACTGACTAACTAGCATTAGCCGTAACTAAGTCACAGTCACCATTATCATAATGTTTTCTGTGTTAAATATCTCCTTGAGAATTTAGCTTCCACCCCTGTCATTAAATGCATTCATTCGTTTCATTGTGTGTACCGAACCGAAAGGTCAGTATTGAATGGTACACAATGAATACATTCACTGTTACACCCTTATTCCAACCCACTGAAACCATATTATGTATCCAATTAGCGTATGTGATTGGTGATAGTTATTTTTTTCCTGTTCAAAGTTTAGTGAGTGCTTGACAAGGCTTCATGAATACGTGGGGAATTAAAGTTACACCTGATGACCTATTTGCGTTCAGTACAGTGACTGTCCTGTCAAACATCCAACTTTTACTCATCTCGTAAGTCTACTATAGCCCAGGACTCAGGCATATTTATTGACGTTTCTCAAAATAATTAGGACGAGTACAGCACTCATACTGGCTGTTTGAGGTAAGGGATACGTTTCCTGGTTTTTCCCGCAGAGTGGCTTGCATCAGTTACGCCCATATTTATCTGCTTGTAGTAGTAAAGTTATAGTAAAAATGTTCATGCATCCAGCTATAGTCCATCATTGCTTCAGAAAGAGGTTTGATACCTGTTCAAAGATACCTCACACATGAAGGCCTGTGATGCTCACAACAAGGAAAGTCTTATATACATATGTGCTATGCATTTATGTAGATAACATTGTGTATTATGGGGACAGATATGAAAATTGAGGTAAAAATGAGTCAAGGGATGTTCATTCTGCTCTGTGAATGAGTGTCATCGATAATAAAATGACCAATTAATTATATTGTGACTGATAACAGTAGTGAGAATTTGGTCAACTGTTGCATTTCAGCTGAGAATATTTATATAACTCTAGGAAGTTTGTCAGATGCATTAAATCAGTGGTTAGATTACCCCTTCACTGTGTAAAAACTGAAACTCTCTCCGCTGCTCACTGGAGTGAAGCAAACATTTGAAAGACAGCAAAGCATTTCACTTCATTTAGTATGATTATTACTGAAATTGTATAAAAAAGTGTATAAAAATGGTCAGATATTAGTTTGTATACTCTATACAGTCCCACATATTCAGTATTAGATGTTGTACCATAACCTGGGATGGATATATCACATTCACTTAGACCAGTGGTTCTTAATCCTGTTCCTGGCGCCCCAAATGCCAGAATGTGTTCGTTCCAACCCTACCTTAATCAGGCTCAGATGGTCCTTAATAGGTTAAAGCCGGTTTCAGACCTAACGCGGCGAGCACTACGCTGCGCTCCGTGCCGCGCGCCGCTCGCGGAGCTTGTGCGAGCTCTGTGGCCAAAGATGAAATTTGTTGAACTTTGACCGCTGAGCGCTGTGACGCATTGTCGCGCGATCAATAGAAACAAGGCACCTAAATCGAAATAGAGGGAAAACTTATAGCTCTGGGAAATCAGACACGGACAATATATCACACAAGCGTAGAATCTTTTCGAATGCGAAATATACATCGTCACTACTGACCGCGAGCCGAAATGACAGGAGAGTGTTTTGAAAACCGCGCCTACTCTTTGCGCAGAAGCCCCGCGCGAGCACAGCACGTTGAGCGGACGCCGCTGTTTTTTTTAAATGGGGCGCGCACAGCGCATGCCGCGTTCGGTCTGTAACCAGCTTTAGCCTATTAAGGTAGCGTTGGAACGAAAACATTCTGGCAGATGGGGCGCCAGGAACAGGACTGAGAACCACTGACTTAGACAAACTATTTTGTAGATAATTGCATATGTATGATGAATAACAGGTACCCTAGAGTACCTTAAGAATAATGTGTTAAGCTCTGATTTAAATTACTCTTCAAGGTGATCCCTGAGTAACTTGAGGAAAATTGAGCAAAAAATGTTACTAGGCTGTTAGATTAAACTTACGCTGATGAGTTGCCCATGAGCATCGTGTGTAACCTGAACTGCTAAAATACACACACTACAGATATGTGGCAAATTTTGCTTTCATAAAAAGCATACAAGCATCCTTACACTCTCACGGAAGACGAAGCAGAAGAGGCAACCGGATGCTTTCTTTCAGAGCAACGTGCGCATCAGCTGGCGTGGAGTATGTTGGTTGCCGCCAGTACAGACATGCAGGTCTTTCAGAGAGCTCACAGAATGCAGGTTTTTAGAGAGCTCACAGAATGCAGGTCTTTCAGAGAGCTCACAGAATGCAGGTTTTTAGAGAGCTCACAGAATGCTCCATCGCTGCTGGACAGCAGTGGCCTGTGAGAAGCAGACACCAGGCAGTTGATGGTCACATGACCTTCATATAAACACCACGATTCAGAAACCTGTTCCCGCTGGCCTTTCCGCTGATATTGTTTGTTTTTGTCGTCATTTATTTTTATTTATTTGAAGCCATTTGCTCTTTTATTTAATCTAAAATATAATTTATTAATTTAAGATCACGACGTGAATACATAACAATGACATGTTTCGCTATGCTCTTACAGATTTGGATAAGTGTCTGCATCCATTTTATATCCTTCATCACATTTGTAACCAGTGTGAGTGAAATCCGAAGCCCCTTAACCGATGATGTGGACAAAATCTCCATACTGGTAAGTGATTGTGCTAAAATTAGTGTTGTATGCTGTCAGCATCGTATAAAAAATAACAGGTTAGAAAAGAAATGCAAACCTCACATATGTGAGCAAGACCAGAACTGATTCAGTATGTTCCTGGAAATGCAGGAATCATGATTGTCCGTCCTCTCCCATAGTCCAGATAAAACCACAATAACTAAGCTGTAGTCATGAATCATTTTGTTCATTTGAACCAACCATCATCTTAAAGGTGCTTCAATTCCCACGCTGGCATTCTAATGTAAATTGGTGATTTAATCAGTCTCTTGTTCCACTCAGAGGCACATTCTTTACTAAGTATGAATCGATTCAGTTACAGATAGCATAGAAAAAAGGTTAAATGTGTCACAACAATGTATGTATGAATGGATTAATTTTAGTGGAATACCTTTTTCTTTGTTCCACAGAAACAAAATATACCCAAAGATTACTGGATTACATTACATCACATTCCTAAAGAAGTGGTAAGCTATGAAAACTGTTTTTTGTGTTTGAAGTTTTACCATTAAGCTAAATTTGAAGTTAAAATGAAGTTTGTTTCAGTTTTTTTCAGTATGTCAAAACGTAATAATGCAGACATTAATTAAACTGAAAATCCTTTTTTAAAAAAAATGTATTTCGAAATGTCTTCTGATTGTATCATTTCCGTTTGATCTCAGAGTGGCATGTGCTGGGTTGATCTCAATGTTTATCATTTGGAAGAAAGTTTGAAACAACTGGCACAAAAGTTTGGAAACATTTCTTCTAACAGAGATAACATTGCTATATACATTCAAACTCTACAAGATATACGCTACAACATTGTTAAAAAAATTGATCTGGTAAGTTTGGGAGTTCGCCTGTGCTTTTCCCACAAAATGTCTTCTAAAGTGTATTTCAGGTGGTTCTTTTTGCTTTGTTTTGTGTGGATTGAGAATAAATACATCTGTGTTTCTTTTATTTGTATGAAAAGGGCTTCATAATGGAAGAATTTCAGTGCCATTATAGAGAAGTTAGATGGCAAACAGCAAATTATTTTGACTATGTTAAAGATTTTCTGAGCGCTGCGCGCTCTAGAAGAGGAGACGCTGAATGTGACTCTCCTCCCTGTCCTCCGACAACTCAGGCCATCGTAACAGGTAACGATCAGTAACAATGGAATCTTGTACTCTACTTCTGCAACCTGTCTCTCAATCAGTTTCCTCTTGTCTGTTTCTTCTGCCCAGTCAGTTTCTTTATTCCACCCTACTTGTAATGTAATTCCTTAAATCCAGCTACACAGGTATTTTCAGTTCTTGTCTTTCTCAAAATAAGAGTTAAGAAACAGCATCAAGTTTGGCTTGCCAGCCATGTTCCGATGGCCAGTGTGTCACGCACCGGGTTAGGACACTATGCATTTGATCGGAAGGTTGTTGGTTCACATCCTAGGGTCGGCAGAGTGGAATTGCTGGTGGGGTTGTAGCTTTTGGTTAAAAGCGGATGCTAAATTAATGATAGAGAGCAGAGACATCCTCTATGGAGGCTGGGCAGTCCCAGAGCTCAGTCGGGCTGGTTATCTAATTGCATGGTTATCCATGATTATCGGGAAGGAGAAATGGGTGGGTCTGTCAGTAACATTAACGCTGTGCATTTCCTGTCCAGAGCGTCTCTCCAGGCCCCCAGAAGCAGATGGGTGTGACGGACTGGTGCCGGGTTGTGGCCCAAGTAAGTCAGCAACATCCAAACCCGAAGGGTGCAGTGAGCACATCCATGGTGTCATCAGAGGAAGAAAATGACTGTGCCAGGAACTGGCCTTCTAGAAGGTTCCATGTGACTCCCTATATCAGTGAGGGCCTTGCACCAAGAGCTTCTCCACGTTAAGAAACAAGATAAATAACAAGAGAGCGTGTTTCTGTCTGCTCTGCACATCCAGGGATAGGTTATGGGGTCGTAATTAAAGGCCATGTTATGGGCCTGTCCTCACTCACCCCCCCTGCTTGTCACTAAATATCAGCTATGCCTTTCCCATGAAAGGAAAGTGGATTTCTGCATATCTCACATAAGTAAGATACTATTAAATTCAATATGTTGCTTTGGACATCCTCTGCTCAAAGGATTCACCTGAATTAACCAAATTTGACTAATACTAGGGAGTATGAATCCTGTTTGATTCTGGCTGGACTGATTCTTTCTCCGTGTGATTCTAAAGTCTGGCTTCTTTTCTCAATGACAGGAACAGAGCATCAGTACCTGCCACGAATATCAGATAAAGGCCTTCTGTTACTGCTGATTGTTCCCCTGGCTGTAGGTCTGCTCTGCCTAGCATGGAAGGTAAGAACCTTTCGCAGTGACATCACAGATGTGCGTCTCAGCGATGCGCCTCCATCTGAACTCCCGTCCCTTTGATGTTACAGATGTGCAGAAGGCAAAGACTCGCACCCGACACAGATGCTGAACATGGAGCACAAGTCAAAGACCCCACTGCAGATACTGACACGTCTGAGGAAAAGTAAGGAAGGGTTATTGAGTATGTTTGTGGGGATGTTGAGTATGTTCGAAGGGATTTTGAATATATTTAAGGGGATCTTGAGTATGTTTGAGAATGTGTGAGAGTATGTTAACATTTGACTATGTTTGAGCACATTTGTGGAGATGCTTATGTTTGAGTATGATGAGGGGGTTCATGAGTATGTGTGTGGTGTTTGTCGCATCTGCGTGTGCACTTTCAGCTCTATTTACGATTGATCATTCAAGATGATCTCTAGTGAAGCTTTTGCCTCAGTCTCTCCCAGACCCCCCTCTCCCTATGTCAGGAAAAGATTTACTGGATATTAGGAATTCTGGCAGAAAGCAGGTGATGGATGTGTTTTCTCAGTTATTCGGTTTATCATTTTATCATGTATCATTACTGTGTCAGACTGTCAGGATATAAACCTCTTGAATTGTTTCCATCTTTTTTTATGGATGGAAAATTCTGACACTGCCCCTGGGCTTCACATTTTCACAGGATGCCAGAACCAGTCTGAAATGTTCTTTTAGCTGCTGAGGATATCCATACCTATAGCTATATATCTTAGCTATATCTGTATAAAACATTTCATTTTCAACATTTCATTCTGGTTTTAAACTGAAAACATCAGATGTCTTTAAGGTCTCTTTCCCTCATTTATTGTCCGTTTACTGTTCCAGAATAACACTGAATGTTGACACAGTGTAGGATCTCCTGGGCTGCAGCGTTTGGTAAGAAACATTCAGATGTTTGTATATTTATAGTGTACGGCAGCAGTAGTTCCTGATTCCTGTCTGCTGCTCCATGCTTAGGGGACCAATAAGGGAGGTGAACTGTCAGACGACAGGTTATCAATTAAAAATAGAGTTGCAGCCTAAGGAAGCCATTTTTAGCTGTTTATTGGTGCTGTATCTGTGCTGGTGTTCTGCAGGTCGGGATCCTGAAGCACTTGTTCACACAAGAAGTAATATTCACCCTTTTGCCTCTGAAGTAACTGAAACATTGTCAAACGGACTCCCGGCGTGATCTGCTTCTTTCCAGAGACAGATGTCATGATCACTGAGGTGGAGAAACACGGTCAGTCCAGAGAATAAACGAGAGTGCGGACCTACTGTTGGAACATGTGGCCAGCATGTGGACCCAGCGTGAGAGCAGGAATGGGGCTTCATGCGGTGGATTTTTAAAAAGCGTCCTGGGAAGAGTCAGAGAGATGGACCCATTTGCTGCTGAGTAAGAGGGCGGATCCTGTAGGAGCTCCTCATGAACATCTCACCAGCCAAAGCAGTAACATTTTACTAATGAACAACTTACCTGTTCCATTGTATTTGCACTTAAAAGGTTTGCGTGGGTCATCTTTCTCTGGGAAAAGCATCCATCATGGATATTAAAATGACCTTTAAAAAGTTGTAAGGAAAAGGCGCTTGACTACCTCCAGTGAACATTGTCATTATTCGGTTTTTCAAGCATATGTCTTCAACAGTCACAAACACAAATGTTGGAATATGTCTGTACACACTATAGTGTGGGCTTGAGGTTGAAATGTCCTGCTATATTATTATTTTTTTAATGGAGAGTATTGCATTTATATAATATGCATTAATTTAATTTTTTCTCTATGTCCCTCTTTAAAAAATGTGAATATCAAGTTACCGGACAATCATGAAAACTAACTTCATCTATTAACATAAACTTCAAAGCTCTGTTTCCTCTTGGTCTAACTGGGTTTTAACTTGGAAGCTTTATTAAGTTGTTAATTATTATAAACGTCATTATTTGAAAAAGATTTTCCTTTAGCTTCAGAATGTACTACCTTCAGGGAAGCCCTTAAATGGCCCTTGCTGCCTTTGAAGCAGGCAAGAGAAGTAAGCTTGCTTAGCTGAGGAAACCCCATCAGTTGAGGAGGCTGCATCACCTGAGGAATCCCCATCAGTCAAGGAACCCCAATTATCTAAGGACACTCCATCAAGCAAGGAACGCCCATCAGCGAAGTAACCTCCATCAGCCATGGAAACCCCATCAGTTGAGGAGGCCCCATCAGCCGAGGAACCCCCAACAGCTGAGGAAACCCCATCAGTTGAGGAAACCCCATCAGCTGCAGAATCCCCATCAGCTAAGGAAAGCCTATGAGCTGAGAAACATTCGTCAGAACCTCCGTTAGCCGAGAAACCCCTACCAACTCATAGGAGGCCCCATCAGCCAAGGAACCCCGATTAGCTGAGAAAACCCAATCACCTGGGGAAGCCCCATCAATCGAGGAACCCCCATCAGCCGAGGAAACCCCGTCAGCTAATCATGGTCAGATCTCGCTTCTTGCTGAGCTGTTAATTCTTACCGATGTATCTCCTGGAGGCACAAAAGAACTCTTACATAATCATATTTCCAATGTATACCAAAAGTTCTATAAATCAATAAATGTGTAATGCAGTACAGTGTTTGTAGTCATCTGTTTATTTTTTTTAAACCAATGCACAGTCTCAGGAGAGATTCAGGGTTACATTTCACTGCATGTTGTGTATGTATAACTATGCATGTGACAAATTAAACTTCTTGATCTTCTTGATCGATGTACCTATGTTGGCGCTGTTGAAACGGCCACACATAAGCACAACATTACACAATATAATACAATATCGCACACGTCTCCACTTGTTGCTGTTTCGCTAGTCTACTCTCAGTAGTAAATATTTGTGGAATTTTGCGGAAATGAGAGTTTTCCCATGATGGATGCCAGTTTATGCAAATGACCGATAGTCTTCTAGGTTGCATGGGGGATTTCCAATGCTTACATCATCTGGCTGAATTACAGCTCTGTCAAAGCACATATGTGTGCATTTACCTGAAAAATCTGCTTTGATGTTACGGTTAAAGAATACAGACATCCTTTGGCTGTTCTCCATATAGGAGCATTTGTTTTATATAAACAAAATCATATAATTGTCATTCCCAAAATAAAACATCATAGCCCCTTTTGAAAAACCAAAGTATGTCATCTGTTGCAGTTGAGGAGTTAATCTCCTGCAAACAGACATAATAATATTTGCTGACGTTGTCATGAATTAAAAAAAAAATGGTTTTAAAGACTTTCTTGAAGACTTGATTGAATGTGGACAGATAACACAAAAACTCTATACCATGGTGGGGGGGCGGAGCATGAGTGCGGCTGGAATACCAGGCCTGTAAACATTTCATGATGGGGTGAGAGGAGACCGTTTGGAGGTGTAAACATCTCAGATCGGGTGTCTTCACTGGAGCCACAAAGCCAGCTAATGATAGTTTGTGTGGTTATGTGGTCACGCCTTCTCTTTCCATTTGCTTGGAATTCATGAAAAAAAGATGTTATTTAAAATTTATAGTTGAGGCAAGGCATGTAGGGCTGGAATTAAGCCTGGAGTTGGGATTGGCAGACAAATGTCAGTTAAAATAGGGCAAATTAAGAAGGACTATGGGCTGTGTGTCCTGCATTGCAGATCCCAGGCCAGGTCCGGCATGATGTCGTTCTTCTCTGAGAGCTTCTGCTCGTAAACCTGTCAGCCACAGCAGCATAGGAGTTAACCAGCTGCCTGCCATAAGTAATAACCGGGTGCATCTTATATCTGCACGTTTTCATGAAAAAACTAAAATGCATGCTGGAATATAAATGCACTGTATGGAGGTGAAACCAGATGAATTCAGTTTGGGGGGTGGCTTAGCTACTTAGGATGCTGTCCCTGTGATCTGAAGGTCACTGGTTCAAATCCCAAGGCCAGCAGACTGATTCCTCAACTGGAACCCAGAGTAAGACTCTTAACCTCCAATTGCCCCAGTACTTGGCTGGTGCTACTTTTCCTCCAAAGTGAACATCACCTTCGAAAAATGTATCTGCTAAATATGTAAAATGTAATTGTCTGTTTGCACATTTTATCAAACAATCAAGCCATTCCGGAGCTTAGTTCATAATGCGAGAAGTTCTAAGGTGATTTATTTCTCCGCTCGAGCTTAGCAGCCACCCCTTACCTCTGAATAAGAGGTTGGCTGGACATAATGTACTGTAAATGTCTGAGAAATAATTCTATGAGTTGATTGTTCTGCTTAGATTTTGCATGGCTGTCAGGCGTGACGGTAAGTGTGAATCACAGCGTGTGTGGCTCAGCAGGATGACTTTGCACACGCTTTTCTCTCTCAAACATACATACATACTCAAGTATACTGAAGAACATACTCAAACATACTCACAATCACTTACCAGCCCAATCTCCTTTTAATTTTCAGTACAGGTGAGTTTATGAAAGCTATAAGCATGTTGACCCCCCCCCCTAAAACCCAGACTTACACTCACTGATACTGTTGCACTCAGCGGCCCCTTTTTAGTATGATCTGTTCACCAAGACTGGAACTTCAATGACGGAACTGACTAGACAGGGAAGCACTTATAAGCAGGGCTAATAAGGGATCAAACAAGGGGCAGCTGAAGTGAATCACACGAGTGCTGGAACTAGAGGTAGGACAAATGATTAGTGGGCGCAGTTCATTAGGGTCATGATAGGGAAGAAACAGGAGGGTCAGGCAGGGTAGAACATGACAAACTTGGAAAGGAACAATCATTAAAATTGCAATGTCTGCTAAGTTTTGTTTCCTCTGACAAAGTAAAAATGTTTTTGTAAAACTTAAACCCCCAGTGCTGCAATGTCCATACAGTATGAAGGTATGAGAAAGCCTGATCTCAAACCAGCTGACAATCTCAGTCCTTGCAACGTGAGAATTGCACACGGATAACATAAAATGTTGCTATTAATATTGTATATCACCCTTTAATATACTATAGCAATTTTTCGAATTCAGCACAAAATGCCCTCCCTTGCGTTGTGATGTCATTCGGCACTGGTACCAGTTTTTACGCCAGTGGAAAACCAACACCTTTAACACAGCTCGTCAAAACCAGAATAATTCCTGGAAGTAAAAGTGTGTTGCACTTGGTTCTTGGTTGGTGTCCCTAATAAAGTGGTTTTTGAATGGGGTCTGTTGTGGCCAGGATAGTCCTGAATTTTTAGCCTGTGGTGTGGAGGCTCTGGTATCAGTGTGTGTTTTATATCTACAAAAGGCTTGTATAAAATTTTGAGAAAACGATATATATACATATATACGGATTTCTAAACATTATGTTATTATAAAATGTCTCCAAGCCATGAAAAGTATCGACCCCCCAGCAGCAGAGAGCAAACTCTTCCCATGAGAGCCTGTCAGGCTGCCAAGTGTTCAGTTTATACTCGTGTGAAAAACTGGCTGGGCCATCATCTCCTGTTGCCTGCTGGAATGGCATCTGGGACAGAAACTGCCCCAAGTGAAGTAGGCGGCATGCATGGCTCAGCGTGGCTGAATGTGGCTCAGCTTGGGTAAGTATAGCTGAGTATGGCTCAGTGTGGCCAAGTATTTAAGGATGGCCTGAGTGTGGCCGAGCATGGCTAAATGAGGTTGAGTATGGCTGTGTATGATGGAGCGTGGCTGCGTATAGCTGAGTGTGGCTGATTGTGGCAAAACATAGCCAAGTATGGTTGGGTTATACTGAGTATAGCTGAGCGTAGCTGAGTATAGCAGAGTGTGCTGTACCCCAAGCCATTGCGATCCATTTGCACCTTCATGTTGAGTTCCCCCACCTCCCCCCCCCCAAAACCCAGACTAACACACAAGTCAACTTCAAACAGACCGTTTGCTGTGTTTCACATGTTAGTAGAGCAAAGCTGCTTTAAAGATGTTCTGGAAGCTTTTATGTTGTGTCTGACCTGAAAATGACTGAGTGCATTAGGAAACTTGTTGACATTATTTACTTACAGCCATATGTGATCAATTAGTTGAGTAATGCAGTACATGCATATTTTATTCCCAGACTGAAATGAGTTAATTTGACTCAAATTAGCATGTACTGTATAGTAGTATTTGAATCACTAAAATTACTTCAGATTTTGTAGGCTGTGCGTGACGCACAGGAATTCTTGGAACGAAAAACCTTCCATATAGCAGAAACGTCAATTTCAGAGAATGAGGACACGAACATTCCTGGAGGCTAAATGTCCCCCCCCCCCCCCCCAGGAACCACATTTTACCACCAAGCATGATAAGTGCTGTCCTCTGTGTAAATCTTGTGGATTTGCTAAAGATCTTTTTGCTGTTTTCTTCTTGAAACATGCGATGGGCTTTAATGTCCCTGCTCACTGCTGGTCATACCGTCCGCCGGGCCAAAGAGTCGTTTCAGACCCACTATTCTCCCTGCTTCTTCCTCCCTCTTCACCCTCCTCCTACTTTGTTAAAATTCAAGTCACCCTCAGCTCAGCACAGAACAGTGCATTTTATGGTTCAGCACATATTCATGCTTCAGTGTGTGCTTGACAGACCAGCGCATTTCTACAGAGATTGTATGGATAATATTCAGAATTCCTTTATCTGTATACAATCAGGTCAGTGCTATCTGTTTGTGCTCCAGCAGAGCGGAACGACACGCAGAGCCTCTGGTTGTCCGAGGCTGGGTCGAGAGATGCAGATGTGGTCCCAACTTTGCTCCAGACCTCGTTTTGCTCTTTGCTGCAGCTGCCCTACCTGGGGTCCCTCGATGTCGTCCAGGAAGACATACAAGCGCTACAGTAGCCGCACCCACCGCTAGAGTCCGTCAGCCGACGCAGTTACTCTCAAGCGCTTTGGCCTGCCGTCTGCAGCTGAAAGGCTGTCTGTGGGAGAAGGCGCCGGCGGTATGGTGGATCACGGCCCAGGCACCGCACCTCAGGCCTGCTTGCATGCTAACCACACCCTCGATTTCAAGCCAGGGTCACAGGGTTGGGGGTGGGGGCAATGCTTCCCCCTCTCACACCCTTGATGTCGGGCCAAGGCGGCAGGGCTCGGGGTCAGTGGGCGAGGCGCTTTTCTGAATGGCCCGGCAATAAACTGGGACGATAAGAGCGACCAGAGGTTCCTGTTACCTTGAGCTGCCCAGGCTGGTGCAGGCATACACACGTAAAAGGTGTAACTAACTTTAGGTGCCAGCAATGAACGCCTCTTTATGACCAATGCGAAGAGGTTGCGGAACAGGCGGTTGCTTCAAAGGCAGGTTTCTGTTATGCTCAGCACGCAAAATTGCTGGAAAACTGGTGAAAGTCTTAAACATACATTAAAGGAGTAAAGAGTTCAGTATGAAAATAGTAAAGAGTTCAGTATGAAAATATACTTTCCTCAACCTCTATGTGAAAAAGCAACAAGCTGAAAAGAAGAATTTGTTATGTTATTTTAAAGAGGATAATTAAGAATTCAAGGCATACATCTGACAAGCAACAAATGCCTGAGATATGTGTGTCTGCTTTATGCTCTTTTTCGATGTAAATTTGCATTTTGACATTTTGATGTTTAAACAAGGCCACACTTCCTAAACCAAAATGCTAAAAACCTCAACAATCTCCCAGCCGCGGCC